TTAGCAAACAGCTAGCTATCAGAGTATCAAGAAACAGAAGAAAGTGTTCTAGTTTGATTATTCTCTCTTTTGGATGGCCGCTGTAGGGCAGGAGACTTGTTTCATCTGGTGCCTTTCTACTAAGTAATTTTCCAGGGCCCACTGCACAGTGTCAAAGCCCAGGAATGTGCCTGAACTATCCTCACAGACTTCTCCTCACCCACTCATCCCCACAGACAAAAGAGACTGACGCTATGAACACACACACTCTAGATCAGGGGCTTGTTCATCTTACTACCTAGCTGTCAGGAGTAGAGTAAGCTGGTGAAAGGAATCATGGACTGGGAAATGTGTATATTTATATACATAATAAGCTCCCTTCCATTTCTCTCTGACTACTTGAAAACGTTGCTTCTCTGTTTGTGAATATATTTATGTGTCAATGACTAGGTAGGTTGTTCATATTTTATTCAAAAAATTCTTTTGAAACATCTTCCCTGTTTTGTTAAGTTCCCCTTTCCCCCACCCACTTATCCTCCTCCCTCCCACCCCAGCCTCTATATTCACAAGTTAATAGGTTAGTAACAATATTAGTAAGAATAGTACAACAACAACAACAACCAACATTAATAATATTAATCCCCTATATTGGTATAGCACTTTATGATCTACAAAGCGCTTTCACATCCATTATCTCATCTGTGCCACAATGCATCAGTCATCAGGCACATAGGCCTTTAACTGTGCAAGGAAAAGAGATCAAATGTTAGAAGTCAAGTGGTGAATAAAGGGGAAGAAAAGGCTAGTAGTGAGGAATGCTGGAACTGTGAAAAAGTGTTTTTTTAAAACGTAGAGGAAGGGAGGGCTGAACCAAAAATGTGATTTTAAAAATGATTAAAATTTGAGATTTACGTTTATTGTATGGTATCAAAGAGTAGTCATCCTCAGACTATGTATAGATGGCCTAAATTAGTTGTTTCCACACATTGTTCAGCTTACCTGATAGTATATAAATTTAATGATAGGAAGGAAAATTTTGTCAATCTGAGATGCCATTTTAAAAAATGACATTGGCATTGCAAGATCAACATTTAAAGAACACTAAAGCCATGTTGTGAGTGCACTTTTGACAAAACTGAAATAAAACATTTAGGAAACTACTTAAATAAAAGCAATCTATGTATTTCATTTATTATTAGTGTCAATGTCAATTTTATAGTTATTTTATAATTTATCCCAGGCTATCATAAAATATATAAAACTGAGATATAAAGTATCAGCAATATAACTTTGCACTTTAAATTACTTTCCGCTACAGATTTTGCTTTGGAAAACAAACTTTCAAAGCAGCTGTTTTATTTCCTTGTACAAGGTTCTGTAAATGTGCATACTCTGTCCCTGATGGACTTAGCTGTTGTGACCTTCAAGCTTTTCCAACATTTTAATCCTTAGTCGATGGAACAAACAAATCTTTATTGTGCCTTGCTTAACTGTTCATGTTTCCACACAGGATAGTAGAGTTTAAAACATTAAAAGAATGTATGTGTGGATGTGTGTACGTATGTAAACACACATGTATATTGCATACACGTGTGAGTGTGTATATATATATTTAATAATCACTGATGAGCTTTAAACTGATGATGGGGTAAATGTGTGAGATGAGGTAAGAAAATTTGGCACAATTCAAACATTTTCCTTTGTTTTGGTAAATTTTATAACACAACATATTTTTCCACTGTGATCTACAGGTGCTATCCACAAAAGTGGGGGTGGTTAATAGCAAGAATCACTGGAATGTTTCTAGTAAATTAACAGGGACAAGTTCCCCCAAATACTCACAACCAAATGTTGATATAGAAGTAAAACTATGTACAGTACAGTTACTTATTTGTAGTTTGGCACAATGTTTTCCATTTTTCCTTGTGGGCAAACAGTGCATAAACTACTGGTGCAACTGTATGACTTCTAAAGTCTTTTACACAGAACATCAGATTAAAGTTTGATTTCAAAGACTTATTCCCACAATTTAATTTTTTTTCTTTAAGCACTTACAGGTCAACATACATACCACAAAGCTTATTTTGAAAGAAAGAAAACACAAACATCAAATGTCTTTCTGGAAAATGTGAGTCTCTTCTTCAAACACAGGTAAAACCCCAAATGCTGTTTCTGCTTTTAGGAGATTGTAGTTGGAATCCCTGCAGAAAAATCAAAGAATTTATACCATCTTAGCAAGTTTTAGTGTATGTCCCACGAAGGGATCACACCATGTAAATATTTTGACACCATACTAGATGGTGTATGATGCAGAAAGATAAAGCACTCCTAATTGCCATGTGTTGACAATTAATGCTCTTGTTTAAATGATCTTGGCTTTTTGTCTAGATGACTTTTTGATTATGTTGTTCAGATTCTGTCTTTATTGCAAAGCCCTTCCATTCCAAAAATCATTCAAGAGCATATTTTAGTTCTATTTTCTTAATAAGCAAAATTTAACGCAGAATAGGAGAAAAACGTAGCCTTGGTTAGAGCTTATCCCTAGCCAAGCCACAACAAAATTGCCGATATTTTGAGTGGCTTAAAAGGCACAGGGATTTCCATGCACTTTTTTCTTTTCTTTTTAATTTGAAAAAGGAAGAGAATGGGAAAGAGTCTCTCATGCAAACTTCTGCTTTCAAGAGGGAAAAAATGAGGAACTCTGGGCTCAGCAGGTAGTAGGAAAGCCAAGGGCGCATCTCATCTCAGCCATTTTGGTGCAGTATTACCTCAGTTTTTCAAAAGAAGCTGTCCCAGCCTCATCCTTGTGGACCTGTTCTCGTTCCACACGCTTTCCCTTGTATTTCTCATCTCGCAGGGCCTTGGAGCTGGATTTGTGACGATATAATTTTTTGTGTGTTGGTCCGTTATTGCCTAAAGTGCTCATGTTGCTGTACTTTTTATCAAAGAAGGCAGATTGAGAGTCCTCATTATAACCAGGCATATCTGCACGACCAGGATCAGCAATTGCTCCTTTCCCATTGCTTTTGCTCACACCTTTGATTGACCTGTGATTCTTAGTAGCTCCTGATGACCCATTATTAACCTTTTTCTTAGATTCTTGTGGTGTCCCAGCTAATATTTTGAGGGTTTTTAATTTTAGGCTATTGGAATCAGTGGAGTAGAATGTGGTGGACTCCCCTTGTTGCTCCATGGGTTCCCAAAGGGGCTCTATGGAGGCCATCATGAATCTCTGCACATCTGCCATACCAGAGGCAATGTTGGACAAGATATAGGAAGGTTCTTGAAATTCCCGTTGGTCATCATCCAGAAGGTTATTGGTATTATTGACTACACTCATGTCATTCCAGCCTGGCCTGCTTTCCTTTCCCAAAGCCCAGTCTCCAGAAAGTCCCTTCTGACTTGGCATCTTCATAGGGGCAACAGGACCACCATGTTGAATACATTCAGTCAGTGTCTTTCCACTAGAGGATGTACTGTTGGGCTGGCCCCCACTACGGCCAATCCCAATCTGCATTTTCTCTCCATTGACAGCAGCCACATATTTACCTTTCTTTGCTGATTTAGGAACCTGGCGGGAGGTTTTGCTAGGTGGCTTTTCAACCCCTTTGTTGCTGGCTTTTGGGGACTTTTTCCTGGTGTTTTTCTGAGAAGAACTTTGGCTCACAGCCCCACTCTTGCCAGGTGAAATTTTCTTTCTTGATTTTGACACTTTGTTGTTGGTACTAATTTGCCCAGCTGACTCATCAAATGTTGTCAGGCAAGGGTTTTTTTGGAGCAGGCCAACAGAGTCCTCATCATTGAACATATGGAACTGAAACTGATGGTTATTTAATGTAAAGCCATCATCTGCTTGGACCTGTTGTGAAAGGGTACTACAGTCCCACTTGACTTTCTCCATGCTGCCCAATGATCCTGGGACACCCTCTTGGAATCCTTTCATTGTTTTGATATTCTCACATCTGGTACTCTGAGGAGAAAGACTGGGTGTGTCCGGTGGAGACATTTCTGAGAGGGAAGAGTGGCGGAACTTGTCAGGAGTGAAGTTGGAGATATCGAGGAGGTCAGTGGACTCTTTAAGTGGTGCTATCTCATCAATGCTCTGCTGGATCACCAGTTTGGGGCTGCAGTGGGCCAAGAAGTCATCGGTGATATCATCATCACCATCCTTTTCACAGGATTTCAAGCTTAAGGAACAATAATTGCTTGAACTGACAGAAAGGGGAGTCATCGAATCAAAGCTAAAGAGCCGGCCGTCATCATCTGCACTGACTGGAGTCTGCTGGAAAGGAAAGCAGATCTCTCCATTACTAAAGTGACACAACTGGTAAGAGTCATCAGATGGGAGATGGGTGTCCTGCACACAGGCATAAAGAACCTTGTTGCAACCACTACTGAGGCAGACAGGACTGTATGTTATAGCTGTGAGGTTATTCTCCATGGAGACTATTTGGGAGGCTTCGAATTCACTAGATTGATTTGTGGCTATCTCCCTTGAGACTTCAGTCATGAACTCTTGGGGGCCAGATGTAGCCTTGTTGGACCACATACTTCCATAGTTGCTTGCTTCCAGTTTGAAGGTATGAGACGACGGTTGCAGCTCAGACTCTGAAGATGAGGACAGCACGCAGTCCTGAGCAGACTGGAGAGGGACAAATGATTTTTCTGTTTGAGCAAGGCTGCCTTCATTTTGCTCTGCAGAATTGTTGGTGAAGTATGAGATACTAGTATTATTTGACAAGTCAGAAGCATCTAACAGTGTTTGTAAATACCCTCCAGGGATAACAGGTATATTCGTGGCAACATTAGCTGAAGATAAAGGCATTTCAGAAGAGCAGGTGGTTGGCAAGAAAGTGGAATTCTTAACCACCTTTGTCTCGTGAAATTCAGACAGATGGGAATTGTTTGAGGTTCCAGGAATGACTTCATTTTTTAAATTCGCCTTGGAGGATTGGTCTTCTAAGACAGGGCTCATTTGAACTGGTTTGTTCTCTTGTCCAGTTTTGATTTTTTTGGATTTTAATCTAGCTTCACTTTTAAATTTAATTTTGTTGAGCACTTTCCTCTCTGGCCCCTTAAACTCTGTGTCTTGGGTTTTGACTTTCACTGAGTCAGGGACTATGATGCCACGTAAATGTGATCCACTGGCACAGCTTGGAGCAGCAAGAGGTGCTGACTTTGATGTACCTTTTAAGCTGCCTTCTTCTTTGCGATTACTAGCTTGTCTCTGATCACTGCAGAGTGGCACCTGCTTACTACTTGCTGAAGTTTCCATGGATTGGATCCTTTGAATCCTGTGTCTATTGCCAAGCTTAGATTTTCGTTTACGAGCAGGCGGCAGGAATGACATCTCAAAGCTTCCTGGTTCAAAACTTTGCTTTTGGCATAAGGGTGTTTTGATGGAGTCTGTGTTGCTGTTTCTCTGCTTTTTCTTCTTTTGCCAAAAGCCCTTCAACGGTGATAACTTGGCATACTTACTGAGCTGATTCTCACTCAGATTTACTGTTGTCTCACTGGCATCTACCTTACTAAGCTTCACCAGCATGTTCTTCTCACCTTTAAAGCGATTGATAATGATATATTTGATAATAACAGGAGGCTCCTTACGGGTTACTTTTCTTCTCTTCTTGGGACACCATTCATCGTCATCTTCTTCTTTGGAACCACCTGGAGGCCATTCCTTCCTCTCATTTACTTTTTCCCCTTCTAGTGAGTCAACATCATATAGATAATCTTCACTGTATCTGACCTTTCTCTTGGCTCTCAGCCCATAGTTCTGCTGGGAGGATGAGCTTCCAGAATTAGTGTCCCGAGCCATATAGCGGCTACAGTCCTTGATCTCCCCCATGGCGTCATATGAGACCTCAATGAAGGAACTGTCATCACTGAAATTCCCTGATGTCTCCAGGGAATTAGTAAGATGGTCCGGCTTTAGGTTCTTAAATTGCTCTACCTCAAGCCCACTACATGGTTTATTATTTAATTCAGGCTTTTCTTCATTATCTTTTTCATCTTTTTTCTCTACACTTTTGTCTTCATGTATTTCCTCTTTGCCTTTCTTCTTGTCCAAGTTTTTATCTTCCTCTCCCCAGATGATGCTCACATCAGGGACCTTGAATTGAGAAAGATCACTGCTCTGCTTGAGGATTCCACTCTTAGATTCTCTCTTGGGACATGTAGTAAAGACACTGGGGAAAAAATTGAATTGGGCATCTTCCTGCATCAGAAGGGTGGTCTTGTCTCGAACATTGTCCTGAAATGACTCATATCGAATTTTGAGGGAGCAGACATCACTGCCTAGTGTTGACTCATCATCATCGAACATATAGTTATCCACATCTTCTTCAGAGAAAAGGTTAACAGACAGTTCATTCTTGGAGCAGAGGTCAAGTAGTTCAATCTTACTCTCACTAATAAAAGTCTCAAAGTAACCCCAATCCTGATTGGAATTTGCCAGTAAAGCTTCTTCGGTATTGCACTTATCTAACAGTAATGCCTCATAATAACTTTTCTGAGTTGGATCTTCCAAGTCAATGTCAGGTTTTTCAGTTTCTCGTCTATCTCCTGCTCTTGATTTATGCAGAGGGAAGCCTAATAGCTGGTCTGAAAGCAGCTGCTCTCCATATTTTATATTTTCCCCAGCATTAATGCACTGGATCCCTATATCAGAGACTGCACATGTTTCGTAATCTCTGTTTAGATCACTGACTTTCAGACTGATCCCTGGTTCAGGGTCTACTGCTTCTTTTGACTCCATGAAGCAACCTAAGCAAGTCCGGCTTGGCTGCATGAGGCAGTCTCCGTTCAGAGCTGACATGCCTGCAGGCCCCATTACAGCCAAGGGAGCCTTCTCACACTCGCTGGGCAGTGACCATGTATTCAGGCCTTTTGCAACTCCAGATGTGAGGGAGATAGCATTCACGGAAGCACTATTAGCAGAATGATCAGGTGCTTCGATCAGGCCCAGAGGAGATGGAGGGCTCTGCACACACGGCTTCTTAGATGGCAGAGGTGGGAGACCCCTAGGAAACATCGAGGGCTCTTTTTGTGCCACTGGGATAGGTTGGATTGGTGTAGTAGCTTCTAGAGCTGCAAATGACTTCATTGTCACATCCTGGTCCTCTGAGTCTAGAGAAAAAGGGAAAAAAGGCAGGAATAAAGGTAAGGGTCTTAGATAAGACTCATCAAGTCTCTTTCCCTGGTCAGTTTCCAATGCTTGGATATCATAGCCTCTTTTTCTCTAGCTTTATGAATTACCACCTAAACACTAGTAAAACAACTCTGATTTAATACTGAACATTCATACAAGTGACAAATAACCATTTTTAGGCTCAGATTCTTCTTCAGGAAAAGATAGAGCCCCCTCAGAAATGATGAAAGAACTGAACTGATGGATCAATTGGAAAGTCAAAGCTTTCAGAGAGGAAACTGCGCAGGGTACTGTTCATGGTTTCAGCTATGAGACACATACCCGTTCTTGAAAACTTATGTTAGAGAAGTTCCTAGTGCGTCTACAAAAGTTTCACATCATACTTGTAATTTACTAGTAATTTTGAGGAACGTCATTTAGCAGATGGATTTGACAGAGCAAGGTGATTTATCTGAGAACTCTCAGGGATTCTTCTAGTTCAGTTAGAGATTTGGTAGAATAAAGTTTAGATTTACATCAGCTTTAGTTATATTTTGGGTTCAACCTGTCTCAAGTTTCTGTATACTGAAAATCCACATGAATAAAAAAAAGACTGGCCGGGCGGTGGTGGCGCACGCCTTTAATCCCAGCACTTGGGAGGCAGAGCCAGGCGGATCTCTGTGAGTTCGAGGCCAGCCTGGTCTCCAAAGCGAGTTCCAGGAAAGGCGCAAAGCTACACAGAGAAACCCTGTCTCGAAAAACCAAAAAAAAAAAAAAAAAAAAAAAAAAAAAAAAAAAAAGACTACCAGGAAAGATAATGTATACAAGTAAACTCTCTTACCATTTTCTTTGACCCCATTAATCAGACTGTTTTCTCCATTGGCTGAGGCAGCAATAGCTTTATCTTGTTGGTTATCCATGAATGTAGCCTCTTACTGTTTCATCCCAATTCCAAATGCCGTCCAACCTGCATATTTCAAATATACAATGTTAGTCATTCAGTTTTTGTGTTTTACATGTTATTTCAGTTATAGAGTTTTAAAAACACTCGCTGGGATCTGTTTTCTAGACTGGCTTCATCAGTTCTGCTGGTTTTGGTTCATAGTTCACATCTACTATATAAGGTACTTATATTCCCTATCAACAACAATACTATTCAAAACCCAAACTGGAGGAAGCAGGGAAGTGTACAAAATTAGCCTAATTACAGCTGCCCAATTAGGAAGTATGCAAAGTAAAGTCTAGGATAACTTTCAATAATGTGTATCTATGTGGAAATTAGTTTTGTTTACTTTGTTTCTACTTTGATGACCACAAGTTCTTTTTTTTTTTTTTTTTTTGGTTTTTCGAGACAGGGTTTCTCTGTGTAGCTTTGCGCCTTTCCTGGATCTCGCGCTGTAGACCAGGCTGGCCTCGAACTCACAGAGATCCGCCTGCCTCTGCCTCCCGAGTGCTGGGATTAAAGGCGTGCGCCACCACCGCCCGGCTTGACCACAAGTTCTTTAAAGACAAACCAATTCACATATATTATTCATATACATCATACTTAATTTTTTTATTAAGATATAATCACATCATTTCCCTACATCCCCTTTCCTTCCTCCACCTCCTACCATGTCTCTCTCCTTGCTTCACTCCCTTTCTAATTCCTGGTCTCATTTTTTGATATATGTATATCTACATATCTATATCTGCATCTATATTCATATCTATTGCTATATATCACACTTATTTTCTCTGTGTCTTAAACTTTGATTTCTAAAATTGAAAGGGATAGAGGAGTCCTTAGTTTCTTGATTTATATGACTTCAATGGAATTTTGATAATCATTCCTCTACTCTAAAAACATATCAAGATTTTTAAAATGTGACGTAAGTAAGATCGAGATTTTATGAAAAGGTTGCAGCCTTGTGTGGTGCTTTTAAGACACAGTACAAACATCTATAGCTTTTCATTTTTGTCCACTTACTTGGGTATTAGGTATATTGAAAATGATAGATGAGTCTACTTGCGATAAAGGTGATCATCATGTGCCCCTCCATAAATCCCTACTCATTTCAGCTAACCTCTATCCCTAAACATTCTTCCCAGTCAAGTTTTCAAGTTTTCATCCCTTTATTTAAAAGCACACACTAAGGCCATATGCCATCACATGCCTGTAATATCAGCACTCAGTAGCGGAGACAAGTCAGAGGTCAGTCTGGTCAACATAGTGAGACCTTGACTCAAAAACAAAGCAAAATAAAACAGGGCCTGCTGAGCTCCTCTGGGACATTCCTTCTATGAGACACCAGGTATGCCCACTACTTCTAACCCCACGGACCTGCCTGGCTGACTCTGGGACTTATCTTTCTGGTACCCACCAGGTAGACCCACTCATTCTCTTCCAACAGACCTGTCCTGCTCCTCCAGGACTTCCTTTACCCTTGTAGTCAGGTAGGCCTATTCTTCTCCACTCCATAGGCTACATGGCTACTCTGGGAACTCCCTTTCTTGTATCACCAGTTGACTCTGCTCCTTCCCATCCTATAGCTTCAACCAGCTTCTCTGTAACATCCTTTCCCTATCTTCCCAGGTAGTCCCTTCTTCTAACCCTATGGAGTATCCGTTCCTCTGAGACTGGGTAGATTTCACTCTGTTTAACTTCATGGGACTTCTTGCTCTTCTAGGATCTTGCTTTCACATGCTTCCAGGCCACCTAGTTCCTCCAGAATCTTCCATCCTCACACTTCAGACTAGGACCACTACTTCTAACCCTATAAATTGCTCCTCCAGTGCTTTCCAGAATTTGTAGGTAAGTCCTACCCCTCTATATGACATAGACCCCCTGACTACACACCTAGCTTTCTGAGAGCTCTTGCCTCCAAACACAGGTTGTCCAGAGCAACAGATGAGGAGAGCTACACCAGAAGGCTGCAGAGTAGAGGACCAACAAGGGTTATACTGACCCTTGGATGGTGTCTGTTTACAGAGACAAAAGTGGGCTCTCAAAAGAGGACTAGTGATAGAGCCCTCAGCTCCAATACCAGTACCACAAAACAAAACACCTCAACCTTCAATAGTTTAATCCTCTCATGGATGTTGTATATGCTCACACTGAAACAAGAAAGATGATTTGAAGAAAAAAAGGATTCAACTAACAAACTACTTCAGGTGCACAAATTCTAGTACAGAAACAAAAGTGAAAAAACAGAACATGTCCCCCTGTGGTGGTTTGAATGAGAATGTTCCCTGTAGGCTCAGATATTTGAGTACTTAGTCCCCAGTTAGTGGGCTATTTGGGTAGGTTCAGGAGGGACCTTATTGGAGGGAGTACATCACTGGAGACATGCTTTGAGAGTTTTAGAGAGTTAACTATCTCTACTTCTTGCTTGCAGTTCAAAAATGTAAGCTCTCAGCTTCCAGCTCCAGCCACTTTGTTTGCTTGCTGTCACAATTCCCCTCCATGACCAACTTATCCCTCTGGGACCATAAGCCAAATAAACTCTTCCATCTATAAGTTTCCTTGGTCATGGCATTTTATCACATCAATAGAAAATTAGTAAATATAACACTCCATCCCAAAACCATTACCAATCTCATAGTAATGAACCCTAATGAAAATGAGTGAGATCTTCATGACAAAGAATTCAAAAGAATGATTATAACTGTGTTCAAACAACTCAAAGAGGATTGGCATATATTCTAAGGGAACCAAACAAAGAGCTGAATGAAATGTGGAAGTCAATTCAAGATATGAAAATATAATTTAATAAAGAGAAAGAATTGTTAAATAAAACCCAAACTGAAATGATGCTGGAAATGTAAAACTTAGTAAGTAAAATTAAAAATCCCACTGGAAATTGTTACTGACAGAATTTATCATGTGGAAAACACAGTGTTGGGACTGGAAGATGAAGAGGAATTGTATCACTCAGTGAAGGTCTTGAGAATTAAAAAAATGAACAAAACACAGGGGAGCTTTGAAATACCATGAAAATATCTAATATTTGAATTATGAGTATACCACAGTGAATGCATGGTGAATATTTTTTAACAAAATGATAGAAGAAAATTTCCTAAACCTAGAGAAAGGGATATCCAGCCAGGTACAAGGGATCTATAGAACACCAAATAGACATAACTAGAAAAGAAAATCCTCAAGACATTGTTAATGCTAAAACACAGTCTAAAGAAATGGTGTTGAAAACTGCAAGAAGAAATGGTTAGGTTACTTATATAGGCAGTCCCACCAAAATAATACCTGATTATTTTACAGAAACTTCAACACCAGAAGGGCCTGCAAATATGTATTCCAAATTCTGAAAGACCAAAATTGTCAATCCAGACTATCATATTCAGTAAAAATATCAATTAAAATTGAAGGAAAAATAAAACCTTTCCATGATAAAAATAGACTAGAGGAATTTATGACCACTAAGTCAGTTCTACAGAGTCTACTGGAAGGAATATGTCAGTCTAAAGTGAAGGACAAACACACTCAAGAAGTCATAGGGAATATAAGCAATTTCAGGACAGTTAATCAAAAGAGATATAAGAAGACAGCAATGTCACAACAAATAACAGGAATTAATAAACACTGTTCAATAATAACTGAAAAGTGTAATATTAAAGATCTCAATTTCTCCAATGAAAAGGACAGAGATTAACATATTGGATTATAAAACAGGATCTATCTATCCATCTTCCTGTAGTCTTGAAGGAACATACCTCAGCATCAAGGACAGATACAGGGTAAAAGGATGGAAAAAGGTATTCCAAGCAAATGGAACTAACAAACAGGCAGACATAGACTTACAAAATAAAATAAGTCTGAAGAGATAGGAAAGGACACTACATACTTACTAGACAAAAAATCCACCAAGAGGATATTACAATTCTAAACATATGTACCAAACACAGGTGCACCAAATTTCATAAAAGACACATTAGTAGGTCTAAAATCACAGATGAGACTTGACATAGTAATAGTGGGTGCCTTCAATACTCTATTGTCACCACAAGCAGGTTAATCTAAATAAAGAAAAACAACCAGAAAATCATTGGACTTAAACAATATCATTAATCAAATAGATGTAACAGACATCTATAGAACATTCTACTCAAACACTAAAGAATACATATTCTCAGCAGCCCATAGAATTATCAATAATTGATCACATACTAGGATACAGAACAAGTATTAACAAATATGGGAAATTTGAAATAATATCCTATATTCTATCTAATCACAATGGAATAAAGCTAGATATCAACAGTAATAGAAATCACAGAAAGTACACAAACTCATGGGGGTTAAACAATATACTACTGAATGATGTATGAGTCCCTAGAGAAATCAATAAGGGAATATAAAATAAATAGAATTGAATGAAAATGAAAACACAGTATACCAAAACTTATGGGACACAGAGAAGACACCCTTAAGATAAAAGTTTACAGTGTTAAGTACTTTTATAAAAATTTGAGATATCTTCAATTAATAACTTAATGATGCACCTTAAAGTCTTGGAAAAAGATTGGGATCCGTCCCTGGTATATGGGCAGGCTTTTGGAAGCCTGGTGCCTGCCGTGTGGTGCCTTGCGCAGTCTTGGTGCAGCGGGGAGGGGCTTGGACCGGCCTCGGCTTGGTGTGCCGGGCTCTGCCAACTCCCCATGGGAGACCTTGATTTGGAGGATGTGGGGATTGGGGGTGGCTTGGGAGGGAGGGCTGGGGAGTGGGAAGAGGGAGGAGGTGGGATCTGTGGGTGGTATATAGGGTGAGTAGAAAATTTCTTAATAAAAATTAAAAAGTAAGAATTAAAAACAAAAAGAACAAACAAAAGCAAAAGATAGTAGATGAGAAGAAATAATCAAAATAAGGGTTGAAATTAATGAACTAGGAACAACAGTAACAACAAAACAATGAAAAGAATCAAACAAAGGGCTGGTTCTTTGGAAAGATAAATAGTGTTAATAACCCCCTAG